GTGGTGGGCGCCCCCTGCCCCTGCCTACACTAGACCCCCTGTAATCCATAGGACGGTTCAGACGGGGGGGCCCCCCACAAGTGCAGGGCCTGGGGCAGCTGCCCCGAATCGCCCTATGAACGGGACGGCTCTGGGGAGAGAGTCGGGGGCTTCCTTTGCAGGACGTGCGGCCGGCCCATGCCCCTGAAGGCACCAAGGGCAGGAAACGGCTTCTTTTGCTCTGAGCACTTTTCAGCCTCCATGCCAGACCCCCGAACACCTCTCCTAGGCTCAGACTTCCAGCCGCTCCTTCTGTCTGCTGCTGTCCGATCCCTCCCGGGGTCTTTCTCGGTCTTCCTCCTCCCCACCCCTAGCAAGTGGCCACAATGCCCAGTGGAACCCCCGGCCACATGGTGCTCCGTGGACTTCAGCAGGCACTGGCTCAAACGCCAAACCCTACACAACTTTCAAGCTTGAATATCCTGCTGGGTGACTACATAAGTGCCAAGAACACAGAGTCAGGCTGGGAACGGCCATCGGCTGGTTCCAATGGCCGTGGCACGGCTGTCAGACTCAATACTCCCATCACTGCAGGGTGGAGTCAGATTCCAAAGCCAGAATGGACCGTTGTAATCGCCTAACATCCTGAACAGACAGCCCAGAGACGTTCTCCAAAATAAGTCTTGGAGCAGATTGTTCGTGTCTCTTTCTGCTTTGAGCCAGGATCAAACATGCAAGGGCTGACATGCCGAGGAAAAGGTGCAAACGCATTCTGACCGGGCCCATCAGCAATCTCACAGGGAACCATTTCTCTACATGATTTCCAGCATAACTTGGCAGTCAGGAGGTTTGGATCAGTGTTTTGGCTCTGTATCCCAGCTGGGTCCTGTGCAATTTATCACTGGCATATGCTACCTTTGGATCTAATCCAGCCTGCCAGATTTCTGAAATATCCCTGCCCACTCACAGCATGAACGCGAGGAATTTCTCAAGTGAAAAGCAGGAGATCGTAGAATCATAGGATCATAGAATACTAAAACTGGAAGGAACCTCGATAGATTATCAAGTCCAGTCCCCTGCCCTCAGGGCAGGACTAAGCACCATCTAGACCATCCCTGACAGGTGTCTGTCCAACCTGCTGTTAAATATCTCCAGGGATGGAGATTCCACAACCTCCCTAGGCAATTTATTCCAGTGTCCAACTTCAATCTCCCTTGCTGCAGTTTAAGCCCATTGCTTCTTGTCCCATCCTCAGAGGTTAAGAAGAACCATTTTTCTCCCTCCTCATGACACCCTTTTAGGTACTTGAAAACCACTATCCTGTCCCCTCAGTCTTCCCTTTCCCAAACTAAACCCCAATTCTTTCAGCCTTCCCTCACAGCTCATGTTCTCTAGACCTTCCATCATTTTGGTTGCTCTTCTCTGGACCCTCCAATTTCTCCACATCTTCCTTGAAATGTGGTGCCCAAAACTGGACACAATACTCCAATTGAGGCTTAATCAGCGCAGAGCAGAGTGGAAGAACAACTCCTTGTGTCTTGCTCGCAACATTCCTGTTCATGCCGCCCAGAATCCTGTTGACTTGTTTTTCAACAGTGTCCCACCAAAGAGCTCGCCAGCGTCTGTCGAGTAGGAAGAGGAACTGGAGCAGAGGCACAAAATACCAGGCACTAGCATAGGCTGCCGAGCAAAAACTTGCCATGGTCCCTTGCTACGCTCCTTTTTCCAGCTGTTACTGCACAGGTAGTCGATCCCAGGAAGAGACTCCGGCGGGGGATTGTATTAAGGGAGAAGGGAGCAAAGGCCGCATGGATGAAATTCACACCAAGATGCCTTTCCACTCTTGCCTCCATGGCTGTCCTTAGACAGGCAGGGTACGTCTACACTAGCTCGGTAGTTCGAGCTAGGTAGGCAAATGAGGGCAACCGGAGTTGCAAATGAAGCCCGGGATTTAAATATCCTGGGCTTCATTTGCATCTTCCCGGGCGCCGCCATTTTTAAATCCCCCTTAGTCCGAACTCCGTGCCCGCGGTTACACGCGGCACGGAGTAGGTAGTTCGAATTAGGATCTCTAATTTGAACTACTGTTACTCCTTGTGGAATGAGCTGTACCTCGGGATATTTAAATCCCGGGCTTCATTTGCAACTTCAAATGCCTACGTTAGCCACCCTAGTTCGGACTAGGGGGCTAGTGTAGACAGACCCGCACTGAATACCAGGGATTTCCCTATACCCCTCCAGGGGGGTGTATACCCCCCCTGAATTTCCCCAACACCCCCCCAGTTTTGTGAACTATGGTGCCATACAACCCACCTTCACCCTCATGGTCTCACCCCTCATCAGCCCTGAAACCGCCCTCCCCTGTAAATTTGATCACTCCCTCTAATTTCAATTCCTGGGGAGGCTACTGCTGAATACGCAGTTGCATAGGGCACTGGGTACCCACCTTTTGTGGCGCTTTCAGCAGCTGCATGCTGCGTACGTGGGCTCTCAAATGCGGGGCCAGTGGCGGAGACCTGGGTGGCAGTGGGGACCCCGAGCACAGGGCTGGGGGGAGGCACACTGGGGCCTTCTTGCCCTGCTCCTACCCCTCCAGCAGTGAGCGCAGCCCTCGCCCCATAGAGCAGCTGTTCCTCCATTCCCCTCTTCCTCCACTTAGGGCACCATAAACCGTAAGGACAGCCCTGTTCACCACCCCCTACACAATATCAGAGCCTAAGATTTCCAGGTGTCTCTCTGATTAGGTGAGGGGACCCCAGGGGAAGGGAGACGCACAAAATGCACTGCCAGGCCTCCGGGCACATGCCAGACTGGGTCTTGCTCCCATTGAAGTCCGCAGCGGTTTTGCCAGGGGGTTGAGAGGCTGATGCTAGGAGCTCTGTACTTTGGAAGAGCAGGCCACTGTTTTCAGTAGAAGCCCGTTGTTAGATCTTCCTGTTTTAAACCCCCACCCGGCTTCTTGAAAGCCAGATCTGCTAGACACTGGCCACACACAAAACAAGCCACCGGTGGTGAGGGCGGTGGTCCAGGGACCTGTCTCTGAGAGCAGGCTTTAGAGACGTGGCCGGTGATGGGAGGTGTGACGCGAAACCAGCCAAGGTTCCAGTGAAGCCAAGCTGGCTGCCAAAATAGGCTCTACGCAGCCGAGTCTGGGGAGCTTTCTGGCAAATGCCGAAGGGGAGGAGAGCAGGGAAGGGGGAGGTGGACGAAACGGGACAAACCCCTTCTGCCTTGTCGCACGGGACTGGCCCATCCGCTCGTGAGTTTGGCCCTTCAGAGCCGGTCTCTGCCCGGGTGACAGCAGCAGTCCAGCTGTGCAATGCTACTACTCCCAGTGGTCAGGAGACCGTAGGAACGGCCAGGCTGGGTCAGACCAAAGGTCCAGCTAGCCCAGTGTCCTGTCTGCCAACAGTGGCCAAGGGCTGCTGCAGAGGGAGGGAACAGAACAGGAAATCATTCAGTGATCCCTTCACTGGGGCCCATTCCCAGCCCTGACAGACAGAAGCCAGGGACCCCATCCAGGAGCTCCAGTGCTGCTGACAGCACGTCACTCTTTCACCAAGAGGGGCGGATTCTAGTCCCGGCTTGGCTGTTGGTGGAGGGTGCAGGGGCCCGACTCCATGCACCCTTCCTCGCTGGGACCCAGCGGGGCCACAAGAACAGTCAACGACAGACAGCGTCACGCCGGAAACGCTCGGCACATCTGCAGGGCTCCTGTTCGCCCCCGCCGGGGGCGTTTCTCCTGCATGCCGAGTATGCCGCAGCCCCTTCCAAGCCAGCCGTGTTCCTGGCGTCCCTCCCTATCACGGCAATTTCCTTCCTCCTTTGCCACGACAGGCAACGGAGACGGGCTAATTACACTTGTCAAGCAATCGAACCCACTTGACCTTCCGCCTTGTGCTGCACCTTGCACCCTTGGGTGCTGACTCACTGCTCAGAAATGCAGGGCTCACCCTCTCTGACTCCTGCCCTAGCGCACGTTCCACTCTCCTCCTTCCACCCCCCCTCTCCCTGCCCCCTCCACCCCGCCCATTGCTGCACCCTGCTCAAGAGACTCAAGTGGACACGCTTCATTTTTCAGCAGCGCCCAAATCAATCACGTCACGATTTGTTTGTCGTCCGCTTTCAGGAACGGCAGGCATAAGGTGGCCCAATAGAGTGACGTAAGACTGGATCTATAGACCTTGGGCCTCCTTCCACCCCCCCTCTCCCTGCCCCCTCCACCCCGCCCATTGCTGCACCCTGCTCAAGAGACT